GCTCCGCGCGCCGGCTTTGAAATTCGTTAATTTTGCTTGGAATAATTACTGGCAAGAAAGGAGCTGACGTGTTCCTTCCCGGGGATAAATTGCTAGCAGATTTACAAACACTCCGCAGAGCCGGCGTCGCGAGGTGACGGCAGCCAAGCGCGGCCCCCACGGTCGCTGCCTTCGCAAATCGACGCTTTACCTGTAAGCACACCACGACAAAGAAATCGCGAGGCTGTTCCTGTGAAATGACAAACCCTTTAGATCGCTGCGCAGATCTAAGCACGGAGGGGAAAGCCGAGTGGCGGGGGGGGGGGGGGGGGGGGGGGGGGTGGTGGGGAAGATCGAGACAATCTTGCACCAAACTTTTTCGAGTTACAACATTCTTGTTCCTATAGCTTCGAACTGAGCAACTCGACAGGGAACGTCGCTGTAAACGCTTGTGTCTTCTGTTTTCCTTGTAGGAATCTGTTCGCTCGCTCTCGCTGCGAAGGATGGTAGCGTAGCGTTTTCCTGCAGGATGCAAGCGACGCGCGGAGGCAGACCGTGGTGGCTGGGGACCCTCCTCGGTGCCTGCCTGGCCGCTCTCCCCGGCACCATCGCCTGTCCCCGGCTCTGCGCCTGCTACGTCCCCACCGAGGTGCACTGCACGTTCCGGTACTTCACAGCCGTCCCGCCGCACATCCCTCCAAACGTGGAGCGCGTCAATCTGGGGTATGTTCAACGTCAAGATTTTAACTATTCTGACCAGTTACCTTTCAACACTTTGCAAAGCAGTAACGGAGCGTTTCCAGATTTAGGGCTAAAAATTAGTCAAAGCAATAAATAACTCTTAAGAGCTTAATGTTCTGCAGTATTCAGAAGTGGTTGCAATCACAGCCTAAGACCAGCAATGCTAATAGAAGTTTCGGGGATGTATCACAGGGTGTGTAACAACTTCAAAAAGTTTCAAAATTAAACAAATTCTTTTATATTACCCAAACATTTTGCATCTGTAACACAGAACTCTGAAGGAGTCTGAAATGGAGAGAATTCTTTCTCGGAAGAGACAGTGCAGAGCTCAGACAGTGGGCTGGGAAATTAGTAGGTGTGTTAAAATCTTCAGAGGCTTTGCTCTGACTTTAGAATGTCACACAATGCTAGCATCGATGCTTTTATCTATCGAGTCTGTGGGAAATAACACTTGTCTGAATATTCCAGCCTCCAAAGTGGTTCTGTTCCGTGAGTGGTTAAAAGGAACAGGACTAGATTACACCCAGGCTCAGCTGGCCCCTTAACACTTACTCCAGCAAGTGTCCTCCGTCATACAACCAGATGACGAGACCAATCAGCAATATTTGACTGATCCTTGTATCGCTGTTGATACACATAACCTTTGAAACGTCCATATGCGTATGCAGAAAATACAAAAGGAAGGTTTCATTGAAGTCTTTGCCCTCACCTGCCTTCTGCTTCCAGGCAACACATCCAGATCCCAGCTCCCGGCTTCTGTCTGCCCTTTCCTTCCATTGCTATTGTCAGTGTTCTCCGGAATTGCTGTATATGAAGCGTGAAAATTAAATACCAGTACTTTTAGAGGACTATGGGTTACCCAAGGTGTGGGACATGCTTGAAATACACTAATTACTACTACGGAAAGGCCATCTATCTGACTGGTCAATTAATGCAACTTACTTGTCCGCACGGGGCACAGGAGGTGTGGCTGCGCCATGGGCAGAGTCCCTGCGTTGGCTAATCAGGTCATACAAGTGTGACAGTGGTCACAAGTCAAAGGCATCGCAGCGTAGGTACGCAGCATTTGCGGGGCTTACCCCACACCTACTAATTCCGGGCTAGTGTAGCATCCCCGCTGTCAATACTCACGCCAGCTAGGCATACATGCCTGTACATACCATACATGTACATACCATACATGTACATACCATACATGACCTGATGGTCAAACCTCCTGTAGCACTGCAGCTCCCGCTCGAAGGGCGCTCTGTTTCGTTTTTGGTTCCCTGTTTAAATCCAGCCTAGGCTGTCCGTACTGCGTGTATGCTCATGGAAGTCAGGGGAGGCCGAGGCTGTGTCCGTACTAACAAGTAGTGTGCAGCGCTGAACACCTGTGGGGTGGAAATAAAACTCAAGACGTACAGCTGAAGAGGGCGGACAGCGTAGTCCAGCCAAGGGCCAGGGAGGGACTGCGAGACAGCCCGCAGAACCCGCCCGCGCCGTAGCCTAGGCACGGGCGTCGTCAGCCAGGTCCCCGGAGGAGGGTCACTCCCCAGTACCCTTGGCTCTGCCTGGTCCTCGGTGGGCAGCTGGGGCTCTCCGCTGTCCGTGGACCCCTCTGCGATACTGCAGTGTTGGAAAAGCCCTCGATTGAGAGAGGCATCAAGGTATGGCCAACCTCTGCCATCACGGGAGCTCCTTCCTCTTCTACACCGAGGCCCAAAACTGGCATTCGTGCCTGCGCATTTGTGCAGTTATTTTCCCTATCCGCTGTGAACACAGTCTTCAGAAAGCTGCCCTGGAAAAGTTACCAAATTTTGTGCTAACATGAAGGAATGACTTAAAATTTCATCTTAGCAACCAGAAGTGCTAGCTACCTTTACGCATTTCCAGAGTTGTTCTTTTGGTTTGGGTTGGTTGGTTTGTTTTAAAACTTGCGAAGTTTAGCTGTCCGACTAAACCGGGGTGTGGGATGAAATGTTTATTACAGTTACAACAGCTTGCTTAAACTGACCGAAACGGATTTTTCTGGCCTGGAGAAACTGGAGTTGCTGATGCTGCACAGCAATGAGATAAATACAATCCCTGAGAAGGTGTTCCGTGATTTATATTCATTACAGGTAAGAACTAAATGTAGGAGATGACCTAATCTTAATTTTTGTTATGATTTCTAAACAATCTGCAGTAATACTGATAAATGGAAGCAGACCAGCGGTCTGTAGCATTTTGGTTTCCTGTTTCTCACTGTATCCACGTGAAAGACGAGGGCCTTGAAGATCCAGTATCCTAATGGGAGATGTCTTTTCTTCCCAGGCGGGCATTCAGGTACAGTTTAAAGAGCGTGACAAACATAGTGGTAGGTATCTGTCAGCAATATCTTCACGGGCAACTGCAGTTGAAACTCTCTTTCACATGAGAGAGAAAGATTGCAGAGCTCCAAGTATGCCAGCTGTGGTAGGAAACTTGTCTTTAGTTAATTTGTTAATCAATTTTTTTTTTTTTTGAGGATTGTTTTCCATCCAGATTTCCCTTTCCCTTCAGTACAGTATACTCCTGTCCCTTTCTGTCTTTCATTAAAAAAAGGCTCCTACTGAACAGAAACTGAACATGCGACATATAAACATTTTAATGCTTTAAAACAACTACAGTTCCTTGGTTTTATAATTTAAAATATATTTGTGGACTTTTAAAATGTAGTATTTGATGCCTGTTCTGTGCTTTGACTGAAATATTACCTATTTATAAAATATTACCTATATTAATATGTGTTGTAAACATCAGTGAATGTACGGTGTCATGCAGGGATTCTGGCGCTATCTCAGTATCTCACTGTGCCATGTAAATATTCGTACATAAAAAAGTACTTTCATGATTATTTAGGAGCAACCATTCCCAACCAATTCGATGTACAGGTAACGCTTATTCTCCAGTTAAATTTCCATCCAGAGCTGTTATTAACTGCTAGAGAGAGGTACTAACGTTGTAGCTGCGATGGACTAAGAACAGGAGACCTGAACTGTTCAGATGGAAATCACGGTATTGGCTCCGTTGCTGGTTTTGGAGGATTAGGGGGCAGGGGTGGGAGGGAAAGGCAGAAACCAGACGGGCTGTGGAGCACACAGATCTTCAGTTTCATTAACCCTCACAAAGGGCAGTTCTGTGCCTGAAAGCTTGCTTGTTAACTCCTTGCAACTGACTTAACAAATCAGCTTTATGGAGTCCTCTAAGCTTTTCCTCCCGTATTGACAAGCAAGATGGCAACACAATTATAGACAGTTTTAATGGAATTATATTTGGCAAATAAAATAAACTTGCACGTTATTGTGATTTTGTACTTTTTTTTCCTCGTTAATTTTCAAAATACAGAATTCGTGACTGTAACGGTATAATTTTAACAGGAAAAGTAACAACAAAAAGGCTGTCTTGGGTACCTTATTTCATACTTCAGCAGTATTCCAGATATTGTTCATCTCATAGTTACGAACTTGACTTTTAACCTGTCAGCAACAAAATGGCACCTGAGAGTTGAGGTTTGGTGAGTACGCCCTCACACGACACAAATCCTGAGACTGGGAACACACTTAGCCGTTCTGTTGGTTAAACATCAAACAAAATAGACTGTTGGATGCATTTTTGTAGCCATAACGCTGGCTGGAACAAAAATCACTACCACAGTTTATGGTCAAATTCCACTTACCCTTTTCGTAAGTGTGGTTTAACTGGGATTTTTTTGAATGAGAAATAAGCATTGCTTTATTTTATTTTTTTAATCACTGCGTTTCATAAATGTGACTGCAGAAGTGTCACCCTGATGGACTGCTGGGACAAGAAAGCGTCCTTGTAGTCCTGCAACTAACATGGCATTTAAAAATAGCTCCTCCTAAGTTTTTTTCCAGTCACTCGCATTACTGGTCTGGTGAATACTTTCACTTCACAGAGTAACCATCAATCAGAATTTGTTAGGAGTCTTATAACAATATAACATGGGTTAATATCATATGCTTGTTACTTTTTCATCAACAGGTCTTAAAAATGAGTTATAACAAGGTCAGAGTACTGCAGCAGGATGTTTTTTATGGTCTAAAAAGCTTGGTACGGTTGCATATGGACCACAATAAAATTGAATTTGTAAATCCCAATGTTTTCTACGGACTCACATCACTGAGGTTGGTCCACTTGGAAGGAAATTTACTTAAGCAGCTTCATCCAGATACTTTTGTCACCTTGCGCTATAGCCAAATATTTAAAATATCCTTCGTGAAGCACATATATTTATCTGACAACGTGTTGACTTCGCTACCACAAGAAATGTTTTCCTACATGTCTGAGCTAGAGAGCATTTACCTTCATGGAAACCCATGGTCCTGTGATTGCAATCTACAGTGGTTTGCAGAATGGGCAAAAGAGAAACCAGGTGAGCTGCAGACTTTGTTTATGCTTTTTAATCATGTTGTAGCATTTTACTCTTTCTGATAAAGGTAATTGTCCTGTATTTATGTCTTTATTCTCCCAGAAAAGACTGGAAGAGAGGATTTTTGTAGGTGCATGTAATTTGGATAAACAGATGAATACCATTCAGTTTCCCAGATTAAATTAATCTAGTGATCTTAACCCATTCCCAAGTGGAATGAAACCCATTTCCTTAATGGAACGTTTTCCTTGGCCAGTCCAAAGCTTCTGTGCACCAGGAGAATCCGCAGGGAATAAGGAAGCTAATTTTTATTAGCAAGAGTGAAGGCCACATTGTACACGATTCTTCGAAAAAGAAATAAGGAATGGGACTCGAGGAGTTTGTGTTGCTGCCCTGAGTAGGCGTTACCCCCGCAGAGCGCTAGAGCCTGTGTCTCAGAGCACAGCTACGGCCAGGTACCACAGCGGAGCCTGCCTTGCACGGTGTCAAACCGCGGGACGGAAGGACGCCGTGCTGAGCCGCAACGGCAACAGTCCTTACGCAGTTTCATCAGACAAAATTCACAGGATTTTCTTAGATTACTTTAGGTTTTTATAGCTTACTTCAGGTTTTTACAGGTTACTTCAAGATAAACTTTGTTAATATTTTATTAAAGAGAAGAGCTTGCTGGTAGCTGTATGTCTTTATTAATACTAAAAACTGTATCACAAAAGCTTACTGCATTTTTCTTCCCTTCAGATGTTATAAAGTGCAAAAAAGACAGAAGTTCCAGTGCTCAGCAATGCGCAGTTTGTGCTACTCCCAAAAATCACAAAGGGAAAAGCTTAGTGGAAATTCCTTCTGCATCTTTAACCTGCACTAAGCCAGCCATACATGACTCCCTGAAATTTAAAAACCTCACCATGCCAGATGATGGGGATTTCAGTTCCGTATCGCCTAAGGACTTCATAGCTCCTATAGGATCCATGGTTTTGAACATGACTGACCAAGCAGGAAGTCGAGGTAACTTGGTTTGCAACATCCAAAAACCTAAAGAAATGTCTCCCGTCTCATTTGACAAAGATGGCAACAGCACAGTACTCAAAACATCATTCTCAGCATTTCTTGTCTGTGGCATTGACCATGAACATATTCAGCAGCTATGGAGCATACTGGCACTGTACAGTAATTCTCCCTTAAAGCTGGAAAGGAACGTCCTAGCACCTAACACGCCTTTTTACAAATATAAACAAATCTACTCTGAAAAAGATGAACTTTTTACCAATATAGAGGCTGAACTGAGAGCTGAACCATCTTGGTTAATGCAAAGCAAAGTGTCATTACAGCTAGACAGGACAGCAACCACACTGAACACACTGCACATCCAGTACTTCACGGATGCTCAGATTATTTTGCCCAGTGCTGACAAAAAACAGGCGAGAAATAACTGGACCATCATCTCCAGGGACAACAAAACACAAACGGAGCACACTGTTTTAGCTGGGGGGACCGTAGAACTGGAATGCCAAGCAATTGGAGAACCAGCTCCTGCAATAGAGTGGATATTGGCTGATGGAAGCAAAGTTAGAGCTCCTTACGTCAGTGAGGATGGAAGAATCATAGTAGTTAAAACGGGAACATTCACCTTACGGACAGCTGATACTTTTGACACTGGGCTTTATCACTGCATAGGCACAAATTACAACGATGCAGATGCTCTCACGTTCAGAATTACTGTGGTCGATCCTAACGTGGAAGACAACAGTGTAAATGGAGCCCAACTTTCTACATTTGTTGGCAGCACACTCTACCTTCCCTGTACATCCACTGCTGTTCCAGATGCTGCCATTAGCTGGGTGCTACCTGAGCATGTGATTCTTCATCATTCTGCAAGAAACAAGCATATTTTTGACAACGGTACCTTAAGAATACAAAGGGTAACAGAGCGAGACAGTGGCTACTTTAGATGTGTTGTGGCCAACCAGTATGGTGTTGATCTTCTGGTGTTCCAAGTGCTAGTTAGAAAGGATGAAACCACTCTAAAGAAAAAGCATGTAGGTGTGGGAGAATGGGAAGAGGGCGATGGCTCTGGCAATGCAATGCTGGCCTCTGCCACTAGGCAGAAACATCCTTTAGCTACTTTGGCTACCTTGACAGCTAATCGGGAATCTGCTGCCTCAACATCCAGCAATCGGGTCGCACAGAGTGCATATAAAAGGAACAGCTATGGGAAAATAACTTACAGGCACTACAGGGACAAAATAAGCAGACGGTTTAGAGGACACAGAAGACAGTTTGCTTCCTCAGCTAGGAGAGTTGATCCACAGCGCTGGGCAGCCTTCTTGGAAAAAACGAAGAGGAACTCGGCATTGATGGAAAAACGAGGAGAAGCTGCAACGAAACCACCTAGTCAAGTCCACAAGCTCTCAAAAGTACCTGGGGATGAGGAGGAAACATCTGGTGATTTCATATCTCCAGCAGAAGAATTCATGATACCAGTAACAGGGACAGCCACTGTATCTACTCTGGGGAGAGCAACAGAAAGCGTGATAACTGCAGGGCCTGAGACGACCGCGAGTAACACCCCTGCTAGGAAAACCTCTCTCCTGGTTGCAGAGGCAGTAACTCCCCTGCCCTCTCCTTTTTCACAGCCTGTGTCATCTGACAGCAGAAGACCACAAACATCTCTAAACCCTACAATTACAAACTCATGGGAAAGATCTGATTTAAGTCAAATGCCAGCAAATGGTATAAACCAATCAACTGTATCAAATGGAGCAAATAGAACATCTACACTCTTCCCTGCTGGGCAAAGGTTGGTATATTCTGGGGAAAGTAATAACCAGCATTTAAAATCTATATCTACAACACCCACGACAGATGTTCCGGACACCAGCAAGTCTGTAACTTCCCAAAACGCAGTGGATGACCTACATGTTTTTACTGAGTCTATTGATAAGATTTCCACCAAAGCAGATCATCAGATATCTGTAGTAACAGTCAGTGAACCAAGTCCTGAATTTGGTCACATTCATTTTCATAGCACTCAGAAACAAGTAACTCCTAAGCCACTGTTGGACTCAACTACCATTACTCATGAGCAAATTCAGATTATTCAGGATGTTACAACTCATATAGCCCAGGCCCAGCAGCAATATGGCAGACGAAGGAAGGTTTCTGGTAGGAGACAAATTGTTAGACCAGGACGTATTCCAAGTATGAAAGAGCACAGATACAATTTTGGGAGGCCAGGATCTGTCAGAGGAAGTACAGCTGTGGGTGCAGATGTACAACTGAATAAGAAATATGTATCAACGTTACCCACCTTAAATAATTTTAGCAGCTCCATCAACCCATTTAGCCCAGAAGCACCTCTGTCCTCCCCCTCTACCATGAATATGCCATTGGAGCACCCAGTGGGTACTCATCAAAACACAGCATTCCTCAGGGAAGAGAAAAACAAAGCTGGTGCAAGGCAAAAAGCCACTACGACAGTCATGCCTTTAATTACAAAAGGTACCCAAGATACTCCTCAATGGAAATTAGAGACCAGTGCTCCATTTCAGACAAATACTGATAGAGCCCAACCTTTTAGTGTCACACAACCAACAACGACAATCCATACAGCTCATATGACGACAGAAGTTACACATACCATAAGCTCTAAGATATCCTCTACCCTTGAATCAGTCTCACCCAGCATTAAGCCTAGAACCTCAGCAAAAAATTCTCAAAGAGGAAAGATTAGTTGGGAACATCTCTTTGGAAATGGTGCACAAAAAGAGGTCCTTCCTCAGGAGCTACCAGAAGAACAGCCAGATAGGTTTCTATCAACAGAGGTATCGACCACACTTCCTAAAACTACGGCAGCGTTATCTATGTCCAAAATGGCTCCTTTGTGCTTTACGCCTGTTTCAACAGGTGGGAATCACAGCAGTGGTTTCTTGTCTTTAAACAAACCCATTCATTATGGCAATGGTAAGTCAGAAGAACATTCTCCCACTGCAAAACCACAGTCTTACTCTAATCCTGCAACTGGTGCGACCAAAGAAATGGATGTAACAAGTTTGAAGCCAACAGCTGTACCTATTATTCCTCCTCAAACTGACACCAAAATCACCAAAAGTAAAATGTTCAGAGTGGGAAGAAAGAGAGGTCAGAGGAGGAAGAGGCCCCCTAAAACATCCACTTCACAAAGCGTGATTGCAGGCCACGGCACTGCAGCGATTCCGGCGGTGAATACAGCCACGCCTGTCCTGACAACGGTTAAATCATTAACTACGCCTACAAGTCTTACACCTGCAGAACCTCTCTCTGAGAGCGTAAGCGCAGCCTCGCTGACAGAAACGCCAGCGCTGTGGATCCTTAACGCAGCAGAGGCACCTCGGCATGTGCCTACAGCAGCCGCGCAGGCGCCATCAGCCCCCGTCACACGGAGGGACGGCCAGCCAGCCACGGCACCACCCGACAGCCGTGCTGCCCAGAGCCCCACCGCTGCAATCCAAACCACCCCACGCCTTTCTAAGCCTTCCGGCACCACGAGCGCACGACCTGCCACAGTCTGTGCGACGTCAGGGTCGGAACCTGCTCAGAAAATCAAAGCCACCGCAATGGCAGGTGAAAAATCACACCCGAAAATGGAGGAGAGAGTTTTTCAAGAAAACCTCGTAGCACAGCCCACATTCCCAGCACGAACCGAGTCGGGTACCAGCGCTCCTGCTGCAACCACAGGCATCGCTCCTCCCGGCGCCCAGCGTCCCGCCCCACTGCCAGCCCTAACAGCAGCTGTGCCACCTGCGCGTGCTGCAAGACCCACCTCGCCTCCGGGGGCGGAAATCAAATTCTGGCAGAAGCCCTCTGCTAAAGTCGCAGAGAGAGGCGGCACATTGACCGTCAGTACACGGACCGTAGTGAAAGCGTCACAGGTCACGACTCCGTACGCTCCTCTGTGGGGAAGGGACAGGGACAGTTCTGTCAAAGGCTGGTCTGAAAAGAGACAAGATCAAGAAACCACCACCACCAACCCTGTAGCCTTGGACTCTTTAAGCAGAAATCATTTTGCAAAGCCCAGAATAATTGGAGGAAAATTAGCTGCTTTTACTGTGCTAGCTGATTCAGATGCTTTTATTCCTTGTGAAGCTACTGGTAACCCCCGTCCAGCAATACAGTGGACCAAGATACCATCAGGTATGCTTGACAAACCTCTCTAGAATTTACCTTCCACTATAGTCTTGTAATTTGGCAGATGTTTTGTCTGCCAGACTCAAGTATTGCTTCATTGAAGAGTACCGTGAAATATCAGTGAAAAGATGAACTTTGAAACAATGACAAAGAAAGATATCCCAGCACACTTGCTGGAGGGTCTTACTACTAATTATGGAACAGTTCTTTAGGAAATAAAAAACAAAACCCCCAAACATAATCTATAACTATAATTCTGTGCTTACCGTGAGAAGATTTCAATATTTATTGTATGTTACCTGCTATTTCAGAACAGTGAGACAAGTGAAAAGAAAAATCTGTCTGTGGTGACAAACCATCAAATCAAATTAAAGCTATGCCAAAATATTTTTGAATATGCAAAGCCCCATCTGCTTTATTCAAACTTTGTCTCTACTGAGGACCAAGTTTCGGGTTTGCTTTAAAGCTTTGCCAGTGTATATGCAAAATGCTCTTATTTCTCTCTTTCTGATCACTAGTGTCTTGGTTATTTGGGCGAGATAGACCAGGATAGGGGAAGTGTTTTCAGGGACTAAGACAAAACAGAACAGACAGGTTCTGACGTGCTGCGCTGTTGTCCCCTTGCTTCCGTAGGAACCGATGCTCTGGAAAGCCGAGGTGATGGCAGATGGATGGTGTTTGCCAACGGCACGCTCTCCATCACCCGGGCGGGCCTGGAGGACCGCGGGCAGTACCTGTGCACCGCGGCCAACACGCACGGCACGGCACGGCTCCTGGTCACCTTGTCGGTAGTGGCCTACCCGCCCCGCATCACTGGCGGCAGGTGGCAGCTCCTCACCGCTCACTCTGGAAAGGCCGTGGCAGTGAAGTGCAGAGCCGAGGGCAGGCCTCCTCCCACCATCTCGTGGGTTCTAGCAAATAAAACGCACATCTCCGACTTTTCCGCAGGAAATAACAAAGTTCACGTGGAACCAGACGGCACTTTAATTATCAAGGAAGTCACTGTTTACGACAGGGGCCTCTACACGTGCATGGCAAAAAACCCAGCAGGCACCGACACGCTGGTTGTAAAACTGCAGGTCATTGCGGCACCTCCCGCTATTCTGGAAGAGAAGAGACAACGCGTTGAAGGAACCATGGGGGAAGATCTGAAACTCCCTTGCACCGTGAAGGGGAATCCTCAGCCCACTGTCCACTGGGTCCTCTTTGATGGCACGGTGGTGAAGCCTCTGCAGTTTGTAAACGCAAAGCTGTTCCTGTTCTCCAACGGTACCCTGCACCTCCGCAGCATCGCCCCTTCTGACAGCGGGAATTACGAGTGCATAGCCACCAGCTCAACCGGCTCGGAAAGGAGGGTGGTGAGCCTCGTGGTGGAACACAGAGATACGCTTCCAAAAATAGCTACCGCCTCTCCGGAAATGACTCAGTTGAATTTTGGGGATAAGTTGCTTCTGAACTGTACAGCGACTGGGGAGCCAAAGCCCAGGATCATCTGGAGGTTACCTTCCAAGGCAGTTGTTGACCAGTGGCACAGGTAGGAGTCTTGTTTTTTCCCCCCAACTCTTTGAAACTTCCAATGCTGTCTTCTCTGGTGCTGGTATAAAAGACTGTTATACCACTGAAACAATACATTGGGAACTAAATTCACTTTTAAACATTTAACAGCGGTGAAACATCTGTGGTGATGGCTTGTTATTGTACGTCTAATAACAGACCGCATCAATTGTCGTTAAGTGGATGAGGTCTTACCAAAATGGATACAAGTCTTACCTGAATTAAGGAAACTGATGTTAATCATACATTGGCTGAATTTTGGTCATTTTATAGGAGGAAAAGTTATTTACAAGAGATTTGTGAAGGAGGACTCGGGAGGAAGAGGCTTCTGTAGTCTCTGCCAAGTCTACCTTTGAGGGTCTCAGCCCCACAACCCCTCCCACACTAACACTTCGCCTTCGCTTTGGGAGGGACAGTCCCAGATCGGGGCGTTCCTAGCAGGCTCACGAGAACTTGCAGCTGGGCTGAGGGAGATCCAGGCCCGTGCCCTGCTGCAGGAAGGGCAGGCAGAGAGCGACCACGCAGTGCCAAGCGCCGTTCCGGACAACACGCAGCAGCACCGCCAGCTGCCCCTGGCCGGGGGCAAGGATTGCGGGTTATCTGCAAGGAGAAGCATGAGGGAGAGGAGCTGGCAGGATGAGGGACGTAAGATTGAACAGGCTCAGTTGTTCACAGAACAGTTGTCAGGAAGGCAGAGGCGGCATCGGGCAGCTTTGCGCACCTACGTAGAGTCAGCGAGCACGTGCACATCCACGTAACACCAAAAGCGGCAGCTACATCAGGTTATAACCCGCTGGGTCTGTGCCTTTGGAGAGAGGTTCTGTATCCTGTTGTGCTGTGAATACTGTCAGTCGCTTTCGGTGCTCAGTGTTCACCTCCAGCGTTGTGTTCCATAATTCTTTTCCTCTTTCTCCCCCCACAACAGAATGGGAAGTCGAATCCATGTCTACCCCAATGGATCCTTGGTTATCGAGGCAGTTACGGAAAAGGATGCAGGTCACTATTTGTGTGTCGCAAGAAACAAAATTGGAGATGATCTGATACTGATGAAAGTCAGCATCACAATGAAACCAGCCAAGATTGACCAGAAACAGTATTTCAAGAAACTGGTGCCATACGGAAAAGATGTCAGAGTGGACTGCAAGGCCTCTGGGTCACCCGCACCAGAAATATCCTGGAGTTTGCCAGATGGGACGGTGATCAACAATGCGATGCTGGCAGATGACAGCGGACGCAGGTCTCGCAGATACGTCCTCTTTGACAACGGCACTCTCTATCTCAACCAAGTTGGAGTAACAGAAGGAGGAGATTATACCTGCTACGCTCAAAACACACTGGGAAGAGATGAAATGAAGATACACATCACGGTCATGATGGCAGCCCCTCAGATAAAGCACAGCTACAAGACGTACATTAAAGTGAGAGCTGGAGATACGGCATTACTGGACTGTGAAGCCGCTGGAGAACCCAAGCCAAAAATATTCTGGTTGCTGCCTTCTAGCGACATGATCTCCTCGTCGACAGCCAGGCACATCCTACACGTCAACGGTTCTCTATCAGTCGGTCAAGTCAAACTGTTAGATGCCGGGGAGTATATGTGTGTTGCTCGTAATCCTGGAGGGGATGATACGAAATTGTATAAACTGGATGTTGTTGCTAAACCACCCGTCATAAACGGTTTGTACGTGAACAAAACAATCATGAAAGTGACAGCAGTGAGGCACTCAAAGAAACAAATTGACTGTAGGGCAGAAGGGATGCCTCCCCCTCAGATTATGTGGATCATGCCTGATAATATTTTCCTAACAGCTCCCTATTATGGGAGCAGGATTGTAGTACACAAAAATGGGACACTTGAGATTCGGAACATAAGGCCTTCTGACACAGCGGATTTTATCTGTGTGGCACGTAATGATGGGGGAGAGAGTATGTTGGTGGTGCAGCTGGAGGTATTGGAAATGCTAAGGCGACCGATGTTTAAAAACCCATTCAACGAAAAAATAATAGCAAACCCTGGAAAAACTACCACACTGAACTGTTCTGTGGATGGGAACCCTCCACCTGACATAAGCTGGATGGTGCCTAACGGCACATGGTTTTCCAGCGGCATCAAGACTTCCCACTTTCTCACAGGAAGCAACGGTACCCTGACCATCTACAGTCCCGACAGAGACAAAGCGGGAAAGTACCGCTGCGCTGCCAGGAATAAAGTCGGCTACATCGAGAAGCTGATCATCCTGGAGGTTGGCCAGAAGCCCAGCATCCTCACTCAGCCAGCGGGGCCGGTGACGGGCGTTAGCGGGGAGTCGCTGTCGCTTCACTGCCCGTCGGAGGGGAGTCCCAAACCACACACGGCGTGGACTCTGCCGGGCGGCTATGTGCTGGATCGGCCGCATATCAGCATGAAGCACATACTGCTGGAAAACGGGACGCTGGTTATACGAGAAGCCACCGTTCACGACAGAGGAAATTACGTGTGTAAGGCTCACAACAGTGCCGGCGATGACTCTGTAACCGTCCCCGTCGTTATCGTGGCCTATGCCCCGAGGATTACGAACAGACCGCCGCACACCATACACACCATGCCTGGCGCAGCAGTTCAGCTCCACTGCATAGCGCTGGGAATACCAAAACCAGAAATTACCTGGGAATTACCTGACCGCTCAGTACTCTCTACAGCTCACCCGGGCCGAGTGTCTGGGAGCAAAGTGCTTCATCCCCACGGCACGCTGCTCATCCGGAATCCCCGACCCTCGGATTCTGGCGCGTACAAGTGCACAGCGAAGAACCATCTCGGCAGCGACTTCACAGTAACGTACATTCACATCATTTGAAATAAGAAATACAGCATGAACGATTGTTAACAAAGCCTACAGCTGGACCGAGTTCATTCGTGGAATAAGTTTAATCAAAGGCAGCCATAGGCATGTAAGTGCCTAAATACAGTTAGAGGATTCAGTCTGCAATGGCCATGCAAAAAAAAAAAAAAAAAAAAAAAAAAAAAAGGGAAAGGTTGGGGGAAAAGAGAGGAAAGGCTTGGGGAAAATTAGATCTAGCATTTTTATCTAGCATTGGTTCTTTCAGTGATTAAACAGACTTAAATAAAAACAAACTTAAGGCACTTTGGCTCTGCCAGCAAACACTGAATAGCAAACACCATTACTTTCTGGAAATGTAAAGGATAGACTTTTTCATATTAGTTTAACGTTGCCCACCTTGTATGACTATCATGAGCACGGATCACATAAAGCAAGAGTATCTGAGAGCCAAAGAGCAGATTTCATTGTGATGCAGATTACCTTCTTAATATGTTTGAATATTTAGTATGGTTTTTTAATAAATATTCAATGGTGAAACAAGTACTGAAGCATTTCTAATAATACAGCTCTGTTCCACAGAGTCTTTTTTGCAGAACTGTGGGATGATACATACAGAACAGCTTTGTTCTCATCTTTGAAGAGGAGAGTAAGGTCTGTTTAGTGCCGTTTAGAAAAAGTGTATGGACTGCAGGTAGAAACACTAGCATGGTATCATTTTCCTATTGTCACAAAAGCATTTTTTAAAAAATTCCTCCCTAGAAAACAATTGCATCAATTTGCATATAAATTTAGAATTCTGATTTCTCAATTCAGTAGATAGGTCTAAGAAGCAACCTCCTGTACATGAGGGAAAAATGCCTTCCCAATGGTAGGAAATTGTTACCTACACATTTTACACTAATGAATCATGGATTGGACTGCTCAAATAAATCTTAAAAAAGAATTAAGCCGGTAACCAAAGCTCAGAGTTTCTTATTTTCTTCCTGAGAGAGATTAATGTCAGGACAGAGGGGTGAACACACATGCAGTGCAGCCTTTCCCCTTGAATTTGCAAATTCAGGACAGATGGGTCAGGTGGAAGAACCTGCGCTGTCTCCGCAGTCGCAGCGACTCCGGCTGCACCCAGCACCGCCTGATCCCGCTGGAGCGGGCCGGAGACCGATGGCTGAAGCCAGGGCCGCTGGAAGAGAGCGGTCTCTTCATCCGCTACAGAAAGCCCGAGGGGTGCATGAAGGGTCCGGCGTAACCGTCCCCCGCCTCACGAACAATTCCAGCTCTTTACGTCATTTAAAATAATAGAAGATCCAAGAATGGCAACGCGTCTCTTCTGGGCCTGCGCAATCTTCCATTTACAAGGGTCCGCAGCGACGCTCCGCAGCGCGAACGCGACAGCGGCGCCTGAAAAAAAAAAACTTCTCTCGCCAGCAGCCGACCAGCACGCCAGACGCTCAGCAGTGAAGGTATTCAAGCGCCGAGAGCTAAATGCAGATTCTACCTCATTTAACCACACCACAATCAACCTGGGGAATTTTTAAATTTTTTTATTTAAGACTCTGACCTCAGCTTGGATCGCTTTTGTGCTGGTTCGATCATTTCCTGACGCCAACCACACCCAGTTTGCCACGTGCGCGTCCCCTCCTTCCACAGCGCGGGTGGAGCGGTAGCCACAAAACGGCTGGGTGACACGAATCTCGCTGGTCAACATCTGCAACAGCTTTAGCTACTATGAAGAATGGTAAATCTCCTTAAAAAAACGTGAACAGGAATTTTTTTTACATGAGTAAGACTTACCTGACTGTTGTAAAAGCCAATCAAAATTTACTTTTCTACAGATTTCCGTGTAGCGAGTATTATTTCATTAGTTGGCTGTGCCGCCTCCCACAGTCCTCTGAAGCTTGCACAGCGCAGCCGTCCCCCCTCCCCACAGAACACCCGACTATGATACCATCTGGGAACTCTCTGTATGGTAAATTAAGCAAATTAAGTTAATACAAAACAGGGAAAAAGTATTCCGATGTATATTTTAAATGCCCTGCATGTTCCACTTTCAAAATGAATGCATTTTAAAAAAATAATCATATAGACTAACTCCTAAATTACATAAAATAGTAATAAATTTATTCTGTTTTTTCAAATGTAGTACGAGCAAAATTATGACGTATTTGAACAGGTTTGAATAATAACGATTGGTTTGTAGTAATTCTGATTTATAATTTACTTGCGGGTTTGCACTCAGCTGGTAACGCATATTGCACTGCACCGCTGGAACTCACCCAGCAATCACGACTCAATCCCGGAATTTGAAATATTTGCCATACAACGTCGGCAGCAGCCGCAGGTAACAGGAGTAACTCGGTCAGGGCGATTTCAGTGCAAAGAGCCGTCAGCTACGGCAGCGCTGAAACCGCAGAAGGGGCTTTGGTGGCTTCTCCAGCCTCACCTTGTGGGGGCTGGGAGGGGTTCGGCACTGAAGGCAGCCGGCGAGACACGGCGATTCGGTTCCCCCGAGGCTTTGCCAGGACTTCGAGATTTCCCTCCGTGAGTAGAGCAAAACCGGGTCCGACGCCTCCGTCCTTGTTACCGTGTCGTGCACTCCTTTGGAACTGACCACGACTGAACTTTATGTTAAAAAGACCAAATATGAAACACTGCTACTTCCAGTAGGTTTATTAACGTTACATTGTGGCTTTTAATAGAAACTTTAAGAAGTTCTAATACAAGCAATAAACCCACCTCAGCACCTTCTTACCACAATGAGAGCAAGAGAAAATAGGTACTTTAAACGAAGAACTTTATAAAATGCATATGAAAATTACAGTCAAACAAACACAATTTAAATTGATGCTTGTTCTACCGACAAAGGAAGAGGTGAACATTTTAATGAACAAATTAACTTTTATGCCAAAATCGGAAGTGCCTTTCAGTTCAGTAGTTTGGTCCAGTGCAGTTCTTTAAAAAACAAAACAAAACAAAACAGACCAACAAACAAACACAAAAAACCAAAAAAGTGTTTCCCACAAATAAATAAATCCAGCATTCTTAGTCCTCTTGAAAAGTAACAGGACCTAAAAAGCACCAAATTCATAAAATCTGCAATAACATTCTTCAAATAGGCCCACAAGTCCATACATTAAATCTAGTTAAACGCAAAAAAATCCCCAAACCCAAAAAACCCACCTCGTTACATATTCACATCAACTGCAGCACAGAACATAATTATTGAAATAATAAGAGAAGAAAACTAAAGTTTGCTTTCTAGCAATAACTAGTGCATTGAACTTTGAATGTTCTGTTCTTCAGTGCAAACGTAGTACGACGTCTCCCTGCCACCGCTGGGTCAGAAGTGTGGCGGATGCCCGTACTGGTTCACGCCCTGCTGTGGCTGGTTACCTGGTCGGTAGAGCAAAGGGAAGCGTTTGTGCCTCACGGCTGTACTCCACAGAAATACAGAGAAAACCCGTATTTCGCGCAGCAGCAGCACGCAACGGTCAGTACGCTCCCTTACGTACTTGGCTAACGCGCGCAAGAGGTGCTCGTTTCCCCGGGGACTTTGCGTGCGGTAGGGCTACAGAAGCGAGGGGAGAAACAGGCAGCACGCTGTGAGTGGGCCACCAGCCCCGCGACTCGGGCTGCTCTGCAGACCCACGGAAATCCGTGGGATGCGCTAGCGCCAGAATTTTGGTATTTCATCACTTCTGGGAAGGGCAGCCAGCTGTCAGTAGGTAAATTACTGACATGTACACGTGGCGGCATTTAACAGGCAGAACACCTCCAGAAAGGCAATTCCATATTCAACTACATATTTACGTACATCCGTGCACACACACGCGTGCTTACTCGAGAGCTGCTTCTGGAGCTGCCTGACCAGCGCCGCTGTCTGTTGTTGCTGCTGTGTCTGTTGTAAGCCTGGCCTTGGAAACTGCAAAAGAAACACGAAAGCTGAAAGGAACAGGCAGAGCGCAAGCGCCGCGCCAGGCGGCTGCAGAAGCGTTGCGCTTGCGCGGCCCCCTCAGCTGCTGGCGCAGCGGCTGGAGGGGACGGCAGAAGGCAAGCGTGCCTCCAGAGCAGGCCCTGGCCGTGCTTTAACAGCGGAGTAAGGACACGCGGGGCACGCTTGTAACTTAGAGAACGCTTGTTCTCTTCGCTCCCTGAAATCGCACACATTCCCAGTTGCGTTACGGGTACCATGCGTGTCCAGCCAGACACAAGGGATGGAGTCAGCCTCTGACCCCTCCGCCTCTGGAGAGGCCGGCATTCATCCTGCAAGCCACTCTGAGCAGCTTTACTGCCTGCGTTGTTCGACGACAAGGCAAATCAAAACTGCAAATCAAACCTAACAGCCTTTTTTAGCCTTTTGAAACAGTTACGTGTGGTTGAAGCATAACAGTCAAAAGAAGCTTCTCGAAAAATACTTTTCCCAGGGCGATGGCACTTCAGGTAGCAAGGAGGATGAGCCCGGAGCGCGTGACGTTCCTTGCGCTGCACGCCTGCTGCAGGGCTGTAGCTGCAGACTCAGTTCTTGGCTCCAGTGGAAGGGGAGTGGGTCAGTGCCGGCCCCCTGGGCCAGCTCCGCCACTGAGCAAAACAACCACGGTTCTGGCCCTCACCCCAAGCCCACGGGGATCGGGACAAGGCCCTGCCAGTCCATGGCATTAAGCACAATGGGACTAGATGCAAAAAGCTTCCAAAGAAATCTGCTGTTAATGGATTAAATTGTGACTTCAATCACTGTGAAAGTACCCTGGGTGTAAATGCAGTGACTTCAATTACTGTGAAAGTACCCTGGGTGTAAATGCATTGACTTTCACAAATTTGCACCCTATTTATACTTGCATCAAAGCAAAATTTAGTCTTTAATTGGTCTATCTGACAGCATGCATTATTCCCTACTTAGATTCTGACCCACAAAGTCTATTTTTCAAGTAAGGAGGGGTAGGAGAACAAGCACCGCTTTGCTTCCCACGCTTCTGGCTGTCATTCTGAAGAAAATCATTCTCTGTTAACAACTTTTATTG